GACCTTTGTGGCCCCGTATACGAATGCCCTTCGTGGCCCCCCCCGCTCGCTCGCGCCCGTCGTGGCCCCATACGCATGCCCTTCGTGGCCCCGCTGTCGCCCTTCGTGGCCCCCTCGCTGCCCTTCGTGGCCCCTTTGCTGCCCTGGGTGGGGCCCCGCTGTCGACCTTTGTGGCCCCGTATACGAATGCCCTTCGTGGCCCCCGCTCGCTCGCGCTCGTCGTGGCCCCATAACTATGCATGCCCTTCGTGGCCCCGCTGTCGCCCTTCGTGGCCCCCTCGCTGCCCTTCGTGGCCCCTTTGCTGCCCTCGGTGGGGCCCCGCTGTCGACCTTTGTGGCCCCGTATACGAATGCCCTTCGTGGCCCCCGCTCGCTCGGCCCGTCGTGGCCCATAACTATGCATGCCCTTCGTGCCCGCTGTCGCCCTTCGTGGCCCCCTCGCTGCCCTTCGTGGCCCCTTTGCTGCCCTCGGTGGGGCCCCGCTGTCGACCTTTGTGGCCCCGTATACGAATGCCCTTCGTGGCCCCCGCTCGCTCGCGCCCGTCGTGGCCCCATACGCATGCCCTTCGTGGCCCCGCTGTCGCCCTTCGTGGCCCCCTCGCTGCCCTTCGTGGCCCCTTTGCTGCCCTGGGTGGGGCCCCGCTGTCGACCTTTGTGGCCCCGTATACGAATGCCCTTCGTGGCCCCCGCTCGCTCGCGCTCGTCGTGGCCCCATAACTATGCATGCCCTTCGTGGCCCCGCTGTCGCCCTTCGTGGCCCCCTCGCTGCCCTTCGTGGCCCCTTTGCTGCCCTCGGTGGGGCCCCGCTGTCGACCTTTGTGGCCCCGTATACGAATGCCCTTCGTGGCCCCCGCTCGCTCGCGCCCGTCGTGGCCCCACACGCATGCCCTTCGTGGCCCAGATGTCGCCCTTCGTGGCCCCCTCGCTGCCCTTCGTGGCCCGGGTGCTGCCCTCGGCGGCCCCGTCGCTGCTTTCTGTGGCCTCGGATGTTATGCCCTTCGTGGCCCACGCTGGCTTTTCTCACGATTTACTTGGGAATCGCGCTATCGCTCGAGACTTCCTTGCGATTCATGCAGGACCCACGCTTCAGCAACCCGCCTGCTCGACCTCGTCGCTTGGGCCCGCCTTCCCGCCCTGCCCGCTATGGGTCTGCCCACCCGATCTGCCCGTCTGGTTCTACCACTTGTTTTCTGCTCCTTGCCCCCCTCCAGCTAACTTCTCTCGTGCTCTATTCTTCTCCCTCCCCCTTCCGCCCATCCTCTCTTCCCTTGTTTCAGGGGCTGCGCTAAATACACGTGGCAGGTAAGGAAGATATGCCCCCCAAAGGGGTACGATCGAAGACGACGAGGGCGGGTACCGAGGGTTGGGGGTATACGTATTGATTTGCACGTGAGCAGATAGGAGCGAGCAGTATTAAACGTATTGAACATTATTTATTCTAAAGAATAATTATTGTTGGGCCCCCTGGTGCGCGCCCCCCCTGCGCCGCCTAGGCCGCAGCTACATTTTCATCATTTTCGTGAGGAAGCCTCAGAAAAGAGGGTGTGTACAGGATCCGGTTGTTTTGTTGTAATCCGCTTTCCCTTGCAAAAAACAATAGAAAATGACATTTCTTGTTCTAATATAATCAAATTTCAAGAATCCCTTGCAAAAAATAAGGTAAAGTGGACATTCGCGCGCGCAAGACGAAATCCTTCCAAAACCTTAGTGTTCGCAGCGATTTTAACATAAAAACATCAAAAAACCAATGGTTTTTCAACAAAAAATTGTCAAAATCTCATCCCGCGCGCTCTTGCGGATTCGTAGGAAACCCAACACTTTTTAAACATTTCTGTCAAACGGGCTTTTGCGAGCAACTTTTTCGAACTTCTGCGACAACGGTTGCGCACCTGCCAGGGCCATCATCCCTGTCAAATAATACCATGCGGGACACATTCGTTTTTTCTTCGCGCGCGCACGCCGAATTCTTCAAAAACCATTGGGTTTCTTAGGAATTTTAGCACCGAGCAACATAAAATCATACGAATCGCACCGTAGGTCCTCGAAAAACATTTGTACGAATTTTCAAAATTTCTACCCGCGCGCGCTGTCCGAATCCTAAAAAACCAATGGTTTTTCAACATTTATGTTACATGAGCTCGCGCGAGCTACTTTCGCAAGCTCTTTCAACGGCGTTCGCGCGCCTGCCAGGGGCCACAATCCCTTGCAAAACATACCATGCGGGACACATGCGCGCGTGTCGCGTCGTCGTCGTCGTCGTCGTCGTCGTCGGCATGTTACCACAACATGCGGTTTTCAGTCGTATACTAAGCTAGCGTCCAGAAAATGTTACCACAACAAGTCACTGTACCCATGCGCCAGTGTAGTAGCCACGGTCGTCCGCAGGCCACGAAGTGAAGTGTCCGAACGTCATAGGGCGGGAAGCTGGGTGTGGGTGGTGGCGAAGAGTCGTTTGGAAATTGGTAGAGCTTGAACCGGCCCCCCCACAAAGTGGGGGTATTGCCCGCCTCCTATGAAAACCCTGGCACTGGTGAGAACGGAGTGTCCCCACGTGCTAGTAATTGTTGTTGTTGTTGTTGTTGTTGTTGTTGTTGTTGTTGTTGTTGTTGTTCAAAACGGGTTGGTCCGGATCCGGTTGTGTTGTTACGATCGGTTTTCCTTGCAAAAAATAAGCTAAAGTGGGCATTTCTTGTTCTAACATAACCAAACTTCAAGAATCCCTTGCAAAAAATAAGGTAAAGTGGACATTCGCGCGCGCAAGACGAAATCCTTCCAAAACCTTAGTTTTCGTAGCGATTTTAACATAAAAACATCAAAAAACCAATGGTTTTTCAAAAAAAAATGTCAAAATTTCATCCCGCGCGCTCTTGCGGATTCGTAGGAAACCCAACACTTTTTAATCATTTCTGTCAAACGGGCTTTTGCGAGCAACTTTTTCGAACTTCTGCAACAACGGTTGCGCACCTGCCAGGGCCATCATCCCTGTCAAATAATACCATGCGGGACACATTCGTTTTTTCTTCGCGCGCGCACGCCGTCGTCGTCGGCCGCGGGGCCCTGAATAGTAGCCACGGTCGTCCGCATGCCACGAAGTGAAGTGTCCGAACGTCATAGGGCGGGAAGCTGGGTGTGGGTGGTGGCGAAGAGTCGTTTGGAAATTTGGTAGAGCTTGAACCGGCCCCCCCACAAAGTGGGGGTATTGCCCGCCTCCTATGAAAACCCTGGCACTGGTGAGAACGGAGTGTCCCCACGTGCTAGTAATTGTTGTTGTTGTTGTTGTTGTTGTTGTTGTTGTTGTTGTTGTTGTTGTTGTTGAACATTATTTATTCTAAAGAATAATTATTGTTGGGCCCCCTGGTGCGCGCCCCCCCTGCGCCGCCTAGGCCGCAGCTACATTTTCATCATTTTCGTGAGGAAGCCTCAGAAAAGAGGGTGTGTACAGGATCCGGTTGTTTTGTTGTAATCCGCTTTCCCTTGCAAAAAACAATAGAAAATGACATTTCTTGTTCTAATATAATCAAATTTCAAGAATCCCTTGCAAAAAATAAGGTAAAGTGGACATTCGCGCGCGCAAGACGAAATCCTTCCAAAAGCTTAGTGTTCGCAGCGATTTTAACATAAAAACATCAAAAAACCAATGGTTTTTCAACAAAAAAATGTCAAAATCTCATCCCGCGCGCTCTTGCGGATTCGTAGGAAACCCAACACTTTTTAAACATTTCTGTCAAACGGGCTTTTGCGAGCAACTTTTTCGAACTTCTGCAACAACGGTTGCGCACCTGCCAGGGCCATCATCCCTGTCAAATAATACCATGCGGGACACATTCGTTTTTTCTTCGCGCGCGCACGCCGTCGTCGTCGGCCGCGGGGCCCTGAATAGTAGCCACGGTCGTCCGCATGCCACGAAGTGAAGTGTCCGAACGTCATAGGGCGGGAAGCTGGGTGTGGGTGGTGGCGAAGAGTCGTTTGGAAATTTGGTAGAGCTTGAACCGGCCCCCCCACAAAGTGGGGGTATTGCCCGCCTCCTATGAAAACCCTGGCACTGGTGAGAACGGAGTGTCCCCACGTGCTAGTAATTGTTGTTGTTGTTGTTGTTGTTGTTGTTGTTGTTGTCGTCGTCCCATCCCGCGACCCACCCGCGACCCACCCCGCGACCCACCCCGCGACCCACCCCGCGACCCACCCGCGACCCACCCGCGACCCCACCCGCGACCCACCCCGCGACCCACCCGCGACCCACCCCGCGGCCCACCGCGCGACCCACCCGCGACCCACCGCGCGACCCATCCGCGACCCATCCGCGAACCATCACGCGACCCATCCGCGATTTACCCGCGACCCACCCCACGACCCGCCCTTAAGGGAAGCAAAGCCACCCGGACCCGGAAATTGACGTTTACAGAGGAGGAGGAGGAGGAGGAGGAGGAGGAGGAGGAGGAGGAGGAGGAGGAGGACTTGAACAAACACCGGATGCACCACAGATGCTTCAATCCAGTCTCCCTTCCGGAGCGTCCTCCTCGCCTCCCCGCCCCGCGGAGCGGCGCGACACGCCGTCAGCTTGCAGAGCGGTGGTGTGTCGCCGGGCGCGCAGTTCCCCCGTCGTCGATCTAGGCTCCGAAGAAGAGGAGGAGGAGGAGGAGGAGGAGGAGGAGGAGGAGGAGGAGGAGGAGGAGGAGGAGGAGGAGGAGGAGGAGGAGGAGGAGGAGGAGGAAGGGGAGGAGTAGGAGGAGGAGGAGGAGGAGGAGGCGGAGGAGGAGGAGGAGGAGGAGGAAAAGGATCGAAGCAAAACGAGACGCCATGCACGGAAACTTTCGACGGTCCGCGCGGATCTCGTGGATCCGCGCGGGGCCTCCTGGTGGCGCCTCCGGCGCCGCCCCTGGCGCGCTCCGCGCGCCCAGGGGGGGGGGGTGCGGCGGGTCCCAGCGACGATCCAACGAATCCGCGCGGAGCTTCGGCAGTCTGTATTTTTGCGGTTTTTACACGCTCTTCCCCCTCTGCAGGAGGATGTCGTGGGAGGGGACCATCAGTGGCCAGAAGTTCAAGGTTCGGACGAAGACTTTCAAAATGCTGGACGAGCCGACGGTCGAGGAGCTTGTCGTGGAGCTGAACTTGCTGCATCAGTGGCTCCCAATGATGGTGATGCTGAACGACAGCTTCGACGTCGACCTCAACAGCCTGGATGACAAGGCACACCTCGAGAATATTGAGAACACGTTGCGACCGCTAGACTCATGAGTCTGCCGGCTCCTGTCCAACGGCCGTCATTTGACGAGACGTGATCAGTGTATCTGTATGAACTTTCGGTCATATGCAGGACGCGATGGGTTCGAAAGCTCCGCTGGAACATCAGCGTCAAGCGCCTCCTGTGTATGCCAAGTTTGGGACAGTCTCGATACCCCTACACGCTTGTGCCAGAGTAGGCAATGTCGCTCGCTTTGCTGCCCGCGGAGCATGCACGTTGTTCTTGAGCCCCTCTCATCCAGCCTATCGCTTGTACTCTGAGCGGCCATGTTGCCAGTGGAGGACGCCGCTCGGAGCACCTTGAATGTCCTGCTGGCACCTCTTTGAATCGCTTGTTTTTTACCGCCGTTGGCATTGTTCCATTGTTCTTGAAACGCATGTAATGTTAGAAATGGTTCCTGCGAGTTCTGCTTTCAGTACTAGCTGACCGAGGCTTGGTTTCCTTGGACTGCGTAGACCGCTAGGCGCCGCTGTCTTGTTTTGCTGGGCGGCCGACGAGCGCGATACGCACGCCATTGCCTCCGACTCTCAGCGCTGATGGCAGACCGTTCCAAGTCTTCCCAGGTCTTTTTCAGCGAGTCTCCCCTCCAGGGGTTCTGCTCCGAGCGCTGATCTTCTTCCATCCTGTGCTCGCACTCGAGCATTCTTGTGTGTTAGCCTCGTCGCCGCCTCGTGGCCGCGTCGTGCGCAGGGCTGGGTTCCCCGGGTCTTCGTTCGGTGAGCGCCTGAGGCCGCCTCGTGCGCTGGCTGCGTGGCGCTTGGTTTCCCACCAGGTCGCCGCCAGCAGCAGCCCCGCGGCCGCCCCGCGCGCTGGCTGGACTCCCCCCGGGTGCCGACCGGCCGGCGCCCGTGGGCGCCTCCGCGGCCGCCCCGTGCGCCCGCTCGCCCGTGGCGGCCTCGTGGCCGCCCCGTGCGCGGGCTCGGCTCCCGAGGGCCTCGCCCGGCCGACGCCCGCGGCCGGCTCTTCGTCGCCGGCCGAGCGGCGCAGGCCTCCGCCCAGGGCTCCGTTCTCAGAGGTCGGCCGTGGCCGCCCAGTACTGGGCCGCCCGCGCCGTGCGGCGGCCGGCGCCTGCGCACCTTAAGGCTCTCCGTTCGGGAGAGCACGTGGACGGGAACGTCTGCTGAGCGCGTCGCGCCGCCAGTTCTGGCCCGCCACGCTGCGGCGCGGCACGCCAGCCGCGTCCCAGCTTCGGGGGCCCCCCAACGGGAGAGTGGCCACACCGTGCGGTGAGTCGGTGGGGAGTCGGGGTCACCGCAGGGTTTGGGGACTCCAGTCCCTCTCCGAGGACGTCTCGGGCGACAGGGGCCTCCGGGGTTCCAAGACCGTGCGGTGACGGACCGTGCGGTGAGGTCTGGGGGGAGTTCGAGGTCACCGCACGGTCCGTCACCGCACCGTTTCGGGACTCCAAACAGCTGCCAGGCCATTACCAACGTCCCGGGCTTTTTCCAGCCCCCCGTCCCGCGAAGCGGAGAGGCACGCCAGCCGCCTGCAGGGCACAGCGTGTCGCGTGTCTCGCCGGTGCCGCCGCCACGACACGCTGAGCAAAACATCCGCACCGTAGACTATCGCGTCCTTGTCCCGTAGCTTACTCGTCCAGCTTTTCGGATTCATCATGTATTTTCGTATTCATGCATCGCGACTTACCAGTTTGAAACATATCCTTATCCCTGTGTTTGGCGTCACCGCACCTCGATGCCGATCTTACGGATTTCCTCGGTTTCTGAGGGCGCATCCCTGAGATTTTCCTGGCTTTTTGCTCGCCCATCTTAGGGATAGGGATAAGTTCGAGGCTTGTTAGCGACCACTCGTTCTGAGTGTCAGTGAGTCTCAAAGATTACATTGCGCAGCCACTGCATAGTGCGATGCACACGCGTTTGTCTGACATCTCTGTGCTGTAAAGGGCCGTGCCGGATAATACCATGTGGGCCGTCCGTGCGCGCACATTTCAAAGCAGTCTCAAATCGATGGGTTCAAGATTTTGATTAAAAGCTATCAGACACAGTGATTTTCGCAATGATAAGTCGCCAGATTTCTGCGTACGTGCGCACTCGCTGAATTCATACGAAAACACAGGCTGCTAGCCATTCGGTCTGACGAGACCATGACGACCATACGCGCGCGGATGCCGAAAGCTTTCAACAATCATCGCGCGCCCGCCAACTCTGCCAAGCAATCGCATGCGGGCCGTGCGTGCTCGTCTAGACTCGCGCATATCGTGAGCATTTCAACACAACTGAGCATTTCAACCTGGAGACGTTTGAACACCAATGAACAGATACAGATGTTTGTCACTCTGACATATTTCAGAGTTTCTGCACGCGTGCACTTCCCCATTGCCATCGTCGTTCTCAGTACCATCGGCATCACTCATCATTGCCATCACAATCATCATCATCACCTTCATCCTTATCACCATCCCTGTCGCCGTCATCATCACTTCCATCGCTACCACCATCACCATCATCATCATCATCAGCAGCACCATTGTCATCATCATCATCATCACCATCACCATTGTCATCATCATCAACATCATCGTCAGCATCACCATCATCATCACCATCATCGTCATCGTCATCGTCATCAGCATCGTCATCATCACCATAATCATCACCATCATCATTATTGTCACCATCACCATCGTCATCGTCATCAGCATCATCATTGTCATCGTCATCGCCATCGTCATCGTCATTGGTATTATCATCAGCATCAGCATCATCAGCATCGTCGTTACCGTGGCCCTCGGCGTCAGTGCCACCATCACCATCATCAGCATCATCATCATCATCATCATCATCATCAGCGACAACAGCATCGTCGTCGTCGTCACCGATGTCGTCACCATTATCACTTGCCCGCCCGAGTCATGGGTCTGCATGAGCGGGGTCCTCTCGTCATTACGCCAATCGAGTTTGGGCTTCACGTGCGGGCGGGTGGGGGTGGTATGCTTGGTCGAGCATTAAAGTTTGCGCCACGTGGGGTCCTTCACTTCGAAAGGCTAAGACTCTGCCTCCCCTGCCAGGACCGGACTCACCCAATCGCTTCTGCTAGCCTTTTCATAACTATTCTGCACAGTCGCTCAGTTGAAACATCAAATAGTGCTATTTCAGCCAGTCTGGTATTGCTTCCCCCTCCTTCATCCCCGTCAAATAAGTTCATATGGCGCAGTGTGGTGCGATAGTGTTGATCCAACAAGTTTGTTTTGCGAGAGTCTCAGTCAACATCTACTGCGCGGGCCGCATGCACGCAACCACGTACGGAACAGTTCGTTTCATATGGCATCGACTCTGCGCATACACACTTACACTCATCAACGAGCACAAACAATTTGTATGTTCAGTGCAAGGTTGCCGTACTTCTGCGCGCGCTGCTGAAATTATATGAATACATGTTGATGTTAACGCTTCACGTATCCCCACCAGCACATGCAGACACGATGCCTAGAAGAGCTGCCCTTTAGGGGGAGCGTGGCATCATTCGGATACCTCGGAAAGCCTCAGTTGAATAGTGGCCGCTTGGACGCCTCTCGGAGTCGCTTGGGATGTCTCCTGGGTGGCTCTTGGTGGGCTTCTTGGGGGCCTCCTGGGGGCTCTTGGGGGCCTCTCGGGGTGTCTTGGGGGCCTCTTGGGGGCTTTTCGGGGGCTTGTTTATGGGCCTCTAGGGGCCTTCTTGGGGCCCTCTTGGGAGCCTTGCAGGCCTTCACCATCTTGTAGGACATCGATCAAAGACGACGGGGTCCTCAATTTGAGTTGCCTCTCTTGAGCTCCCAACGTCGCTTCTTGGGGCTTTCGTGGTGCGCTCTTGGGAGCTTTTCGGCCATCTTTGAGCCGTCTTGGGCCCCTCTTGGATCTGTTTTGTGGCCTCTTGGAGCCATCTTGAGGCCTTTGAAGGCCATCAGAAGCGAATGGGAGCGACACCCAAAGTCATTGTTTGTCTATAGGGTCTACAAGGATTTTGCCCTCTCGGGAGCCTCCTGGAAGGCCTCCGAGGCCACATGGACCCGTCGTTGAGCCGGTCTTGGGACCTCTTGGAGTATGTTGGAAGCCATCTTGCGCAGTCTGTGCATATCTTGACCGATCTTGGAGGTCATCTTGAGCTCTCTGAGGCCCTCTTGGAGCCGTCTTGGGCCATGTTCCAGTCGGCGTCTTGAGCCATTTTGGACGCTCCAATCGGTCGCCACCCACCCGTCCAGACCCAGGGGGAGGGGGGCAACGGGAGGTGTCACGCTACCCCAAGCCGCAAGCCGAGTCGCTCTTTCCCACGAGCCCTCCCAACACATTGGCACCATCCGAGCCTGGGGCCCCGATCGCACTGATTTCATGAGTCCCGCCCGAAGCACAGAGCAGACAACATGAGGGCATCCCCGCCGTGCCTGTCAACAACCAATACCAAATGATCCCCGTTTTGCCACAAGTGGATTTCGTATTGATCCCCAAACAGTGCTTTCACTTAGGGGCTTTGATTTTTTTCTAGGGAGCTGGGCTGGTGTGCCGGTCTGGCGGCTATATAGCCGCCGTCGCCCCGTCACCGCCTCGTCGCCGCCCGTCGTCTGGGCCGATGTGCAGCTCTGGCGGCTATGTTGCCGCCGTTGCCGCCCCATCGCCGCCCCATCGCCGCCCGTCGCCTGGGCCTGTCTGCCAGTCTCGCGGCTACATTGCCGCCGTAGCCGCCCCGTCGCCGCGTAGATTCTGTTTTTGTCTCCCCCCCCGAACTGAACGATATCTTTTTTCGTATGGCAATTTTCTTATGATTCTGCCCCATCGTCCATCTTTCCTATCAGCACTCATATCATCCCAGTTAACCGGTATCGCCCAACCCCCATTATGCTCTGCAAACAAAAACTATGCGCGCGCATTCGTTTATCAAACATCATCAGTTGCCTAGCATCCCTTGCAACAGATGAGACGAAATGCACACGTGCGCGTCGTCGAGCGCGCATGCCGAAATCCTTCAAAAACCTAGTATTTCGCAAGGATCTCAAAATCGAATGTCCCCAAAACTTTAAAAACATAGCATTGTTTCGCAACCATATGTTTCAAAACAAATTGCGCCCGCGCTCCTGCGAATTCTGACGAGAACCATGGCTTTTTCATGATTTCCACGACTTGCTACCAAAAGGGGCTTTTTGCGAGCGTATGTCGAAATCGTTCGAACGCCCCTGCCCGCGTGATGTCGCAATACTCCGTTGCTAAAAATGGGACGATGTGCATACGCGCGTGTCGTCGCGCGCGCACTCCGAAATCTTTCGGTAACTTTGAATGTCGTCAGGATGTCAAAATCGAGTGTCCCCAAAACAGATCGATAATATACACATGGTTCGGCAACGTTTTTTCCACACAAAAAAACAGCGCTCGCGATTTTATGCATCCTTGAGAAAATTCTGGGTTTCTCAACACTTCCATGCAATTTAGCCAGACGGGCCTCTCGCGCCGCACGTCGAAATCATTCGAACGCCCTTGCGCGCGTGCTGGGGGGGCACGATCCGTGTCAAATACCACCATGCGAGGCACACTCGCGCGTCGGCCGGGTGCGCATGTCGCACTCCTTCCAAAACTTTCCTCACCGACGCGATGACGCTGTCATCGTCGCCGGCGTGATCAGCATTGGCGCCGTCACTGGCCTTGCCGTCGTCGTTGTCATCGTCGTCACCAGCATCGCTACTACC